AAAAAAAAATAAAAAATTAGTCGTATGCATTAACGTGCTAATTTTGACAGCACTATTCAGTTTACATTCATTCTTATTTATTTTACAAACGTGATTCAGTCAAGGACAGTGAGTGATTTTCTTTCTGATGTTTGATTAACATTATTGACACAAATGGCAACAGCAGCAATTTTAGGCTGCTTTAAAGGCATAGTTCACCCAAAAAAGAAAATTCTGTCATTGTTCACTCAACCTCAAGTTGTTCTAACCCTGTATGGGTTTCTTTTTTCTGTTGAGCACAAAAGAAAATATTTTGAAACAAAATTGGAAACCAAACAGTTGCTGGGCCCCATTGACTTCCATAGTGTGAAAAAATATATATGGGAGTCAGTGGAGACAAGAAACTTTTTGGTTATGAGCATTCTTCAAAATATATTTTTTTGTGTTGAGAAGAACAAAGAAATTCAGTATTCAAATTGTCCAGCAGTGTATTTGATTTTTTTAGCCAATTAAAAGTAAGAAAAAAAATTATAATTATAATAATATATCCATAACAATTTGACATTTCTGTCCCTCTCACTTCTGAAATGATAGAAATGGTGCAACATGCCTTTGTTTATCAATGTATGTGCACTTGTAAAATGAGAAAAAACACCTCTGAATAAGATTTGAGAATGTTAAACATGATTTACACACCACAATGGATAATTAAAATTTGGATTTGGATCACATATCATTATAAATAACATGACATAAAGGTTGTTTTTAGAAATGATTTTCACCTACGTCCACAGTGCAACATACGGTTAAAGAACAGACAACATATATTTTGTGGACCCAAAAATTACAATTCTGTCACCCTCATGTTGTTTTAAACCTGTATGACTGTCTTTTTTTCTGTGGAACATAAAGGAATACATTTTGAGATTATATGTGAGAAAAGTTTTTTTTTTTTTTTTTGGTCCATGCAGTGACATATCATTGATTCCCAACCAGGGGTATGTGGAAAGATTTTGATGTTGCTTTGTGATTTTAATGTTATAATAACCTGTAAAATATAAGGGGAAAAAATTTGTAATATGGTGTAGATAAGGGGTACTTGATCCTTACTGATGGGAGTGTGGAAGGTGTGTGGGAAACAATGGCTATCTACAAAATGAGCAAGAAATTAAAGACAACACAGAATAATCACACCAGGGTAGCTTAGGCTTACATACATTTTAATAGGCCACAGATACATTTGTGGGGGTATATTGTTGTCGACACAAACTATTCATATGATTTTTAAAGCTTCACAAGTTTAAAAAAAAGGCCAAACACATCGACGAGTCAATTTAAATTGTACTAGTCTAGCCTCATAAAGTTCCAGTGTACCTGTAACGGAGCCGACGGGACGAGAGGCATGTGGATCCATATGCAAGCTTTTATTAATAAACATGGTCAAAAATACAGGCAGGGTCGAACAACAGCAAACAGCTATGTCACAGGCAAGAAAAAAAGAGCAATCCAAAACGGGCTTGAGTCAGACGACAGCGAACGTTATCCAGAGGGCTTGACAAGAGAGGTAATCCGTAAACTTGAGCAATAGTCCAGGCGAGGGGCAAACACAGTCCGAAAACAGCAAGGCAAAAGGAAAATCCAAGATACGCGGGCAAGAATCAGAAACCAGGAAACACGAGACTAGACTAAGACTAGAACTAGGAACTGAGACTAAGAACTAGAAACTAGGATAGGGAAATGGCTCCGTAAAGTGCTATCACTTGGAGAGCGATAAACGCAGACAATACTCGGCAGTGAGAGAGAGGAAGTCCATGTCTTATGTAGGGTTTGTGATTGGCTGCAGCCGTGTGTGTAATCAGAGTGAAATGGATTGTGGGAACTGAAGTCCAGGGTGAGTGTGACAGTCTGTGTAGTGTGTGAGTCCATGTGGTGGATAATGACCTCTTGTGGTGAACAAACGGAAGTTCATAGACCAGATTCGTGACACATAGCTCTGCTTCAACTGTGTGAAACCCTCACGAGGGGTGACCAAAATTTAATTTCTTCACATTTTCCCGGTACTATTGTGTTTCCACAGCTCCTGATTAGTTCACACCTGTTCTCTGTTCCTTTGTATTTAAGCCTCAGTTTAGTTGTACTCTTTTGTCCATTATTATCTTTGTGTTAGTTGCAAAGCTGTCACGATATCCTGTGCCTTTGTTCTGTTTTGGATAGTCTTCTTTGTAAATAAAAGGTAAAAGCTGAAAAAAATCCATCTCTCCTTTCTTTGTGACAGTTGTGAATTTCAGTTTATCCTTGATTCTAACTTCTTTTGCTTCAATGTAACTAACAATAAAAGGTTTCCATTGAAATATAATACCACTTAATTGTAAATAATATAGTTATATATCAATAACATTCAGTAATTGTATTTGAAACTTTGTAACAGTATTTAATAAGGATCAATAAATAAATACTGCTAAAAAAGAAGAAAAAAAATAGAAATGTAATGTATTATGATTTCTTTTATTTTACGTGCACAATACAGACTGATGCACACAGATTCATAATGCCAAAGCTGCACTTCAATTCAATTCACTTTTTGTGGAAGATATTAATGAAATACTGTATGTAAAATCTAATTTCAGGCCAGTTGGAAATATTTTGTCTGTTCCTCTTTTGTAAGATGATACTTTTATATTCTGTGGATATGATTAGTTAGTAACTTTTATGTACCTTTTTTATTTTATTTTATTTAACCAGGAATAAAAACTCATTGAGTTTTTGAATATGATTGAAATTAGACTTTACTGAAGAAATGCAGGATCTTAAAAGAAAAAAATTAGGGTAATTTGCAATTTCATTGGCTTTGCAGATATCAGGTAAATTGTATTTCAGTGTTTTTAATAACTATAAACATATTTTTTTGCTGTGGATATCAGCTGGTCTTTTGCTTACACTGCTGTGTAGTGTTTTGATTTTAAAATGGTTTCCAGTGCTGTGTAATAAAACATGTTTGTTTTGACACGTGCACTAAAGACAAGGGAAAATGCTGGAAGGTTGCGGACCTACAGTCTCTGCGACCTGGTGAAGTCCAGCAACGTCAGCTGCATAACCATCCTGCTGTGCCTGGTCTGGTGAGAAAACTTTATTGGCTAGACATTAACCGGTTCAACACATGGATCACTGCATATATAAGTAGCCCATTAAATCTTCATACTATAACCATACAGAATTTTGTATCGTTACAGCAAATGCATGTACAGTAAATGATATTTAGTCATTCAGTACAACTGAACATATGTATGTCCAATCATTAACATCAATGTTTTTTTTTTGTGTGTTTTTTTATTTATAAAAGAAAATGTAGTGTAACAGCCAATATTTGTTTTTGAGGATAGACTGAGATGGTTATTGTTTTTTTAGTAAAGCGGGAAGTCAATAATAATTTTCTAAACCCGCTGCTCATGCTCCTCTTTCTTCTTTTAGGTTTTCCGTTTCAGTTGGATATTGTGCCTTGTCTCTGAACACGTCCAGTCTGCATGGGAACATCTACCTGAACTGCTTCTTGTCAGCAGCTGTGGAAGTGCCTGCCCTCATCATGGCCTGGCTGATGCTCCGCCGCTGGCCTAGACGTCTCTGCTTGTCTTCCACCCTGTCATTAGGAGGACTGGTTCTTCTCTTCATACAACTCATACCACAACGTGAGGAATCACTGCTTCTTTAACTGTGACATTTATTACAATATAATAGCAAATATATTAAAGGATTATTAAAATATTGGGACCGTCAAGTCTAATAAATTTTATGATGTGCTTATTAATTAATCAAGTTAGCTGCAAATTAACTGCAAATTAACCACACATTGTTTTGGGATGAGAAATTACCCTCCAAAAATAGTCATTATTGTGTTAAATGAGAGAAGTATCAAAAAGCAGCTTTAGACACAAATATTTTGAATAATTTTAATCAACATACACACATTACACATTAACATTTAAGGCTACAATGTGGCCATAACATTGCTTTCAGAAGCTGCATCTGAAGTGGCATTTAGGTGTTCAGAGGTGGCATGAATGAGAATTGCATTAATAATGCTATAAGATGGATGAGTTTTAAATGAACATTAATGTTTTTTAATTGAATATTGAAATAAAAAAGGTAATAAAAATGTAATGCTCACTGAATAATTGACTCATTTGAGTTGTTCAAAAACATGGATTCATTCAGATTTTAGTGTTTACTTTTGATTTTGTTTAAACCTATTGTCACCATTTGCTGTTTTTTCTGAAAAACATTGGTATGATTATAAGGGATTGTAACAAAGTTCGTAGTCACGGGAAGAAGGAGGCGGGAACCGGCGAACATTTAAACAAAACTTTAATAAAATAAACAAACACAAAATGAAAGTAAAGCGGCAGCCCCTCGCGGACGACTGCCGCACACAAAACACAAAATAAAATCCAGGCCTGGTCCTCTCTCGTCCAACACTGTCGGACAAACTCTTCCGCGATGCCAGGCAGCGGCACTGGACAGCCCTCGGTGGACGGCCCGACACTCCTCCGCCACCCGGTGGACGGCGACGGCTCCTCCGGGTTCGGGCAGCCGGCAGGAGTCCCCCGTTCCCTGCTCCTCCCCATCATGGCGGATGGCAGCAGGCTCCGGCCTCAGGCGAACGGCGGCGACTCCTCCGCTCCCTCCACCACAGCGTCGAGGGATCTCTGGCAGCGTGTCCCTCCTTCCTCCCGGGTTTCGGCACCAATGTAACAAAGTTCGTAGTCATGGGAAGGAGGCGGGAACCGGCGAACATTAAAACAAAACTTTAAAAAAATAAACAAACACAAAATGAAAGTAAAGCGGCAGCCCCTCGCGGACGACTGCCGCACACAAAACACAAAATAAAATCCAGGCCTGGTCCTCTCTCGTCCAACACTGTCGTCACTCCTCCTTTTATCCTTCCGGAGCTCCTCTGTGAGACTCGAGACCGGTGAGTGGCGCAGGTGTCGTGCATTAGCATTTACTCCACCGGCCTCGCTCTGTTCCCACGGCTCTCGGCCCCGCCCTTCTCGTCACAGGGATCATCTGTCTAATGATGTGTTTGATTGCTTGACTCACAACATTTGGTCAACTTTGGATGAAATGTTTTGTATCTATGAACTTACAGATATGAATTATGTTGCCTTTTCACTGGTGATGCTGGGAAAGTTTGGTCTGTCGGCAGCATTCTCAATCCTTTACCCCGCTACTGCGGAGCTTTACCCCACTGTACTGAGGAACACGGCTTTAGGAACCTGCTCAATGGCGTCCAGAGTCGGCAGCATATTGGCACCGTACTTCATCTACTTAGGTCACTAAACTCTAGTTTGTACAATCCATTCCTTCTAATCTCACAAATTCAGGATCTTCTGTTATTTATCTAGTTCCTCAAGTAAGGAAGAAGTTGAAATGTAAATGTAAAAAAATAATTTGAAAAATGTGTAGTCAAACTATATGTCTATATTTTCATAATTTCTCAAACATGCCTATCAAAACAATTTGTTCTCTTGTTGTTTTTTTTGTGTATGTTGCAGGAAGTTATTACAGATCTTTGCCTTACATTTTAATCGGCAGTGTGAACATTCTCTCCGGGTTACTCAGTCTTCTGCTTCCAGAGAGTCTAGGATCACCTTTACCAGAGACTATCAGTCACATGCAGACAGTAGTTGGGTAAGAGCAGCGCCCTCTGCTGTTTGCTGTAGCATTAGCAGTACTCTATGCAATGGGCCAAATTTACTAAAAGTTTACATTTGGTATAGTCTTAATTTCATCAACAAAGACGACGACGAAAAATATTAATTAACGAACATTTTTTCTGTGACTAAGACAAGATGTTGACGAGCTAAAACTAATATCTGATGATAAAAACTATAACTAAATTTATGCCTCGTCTTTGTTAACAAGCCGAGACAGGACTATAATGTTATTTGAGGACTACCGGACATTTAAAATACATCCTATAGGCTACTGTCTTGTCCTTCAAAATGTGTGTCCCTGTCATTGGATTGCAATCGGATAAGGGGTGTTTGCATATCTAGTCTCAGTATGGCAGCCGCAGTGGATGGATAGGCTACCAAAATGCGAAATAGCGATCTGAAACAATGGCCTCATCACCCGAAGGGGTAGGGATAAGGCGACCAGGGGCCACATGTATAAAACTTTACGTAGCTTTCATCCTAAATGTGTGCGTACGCACAAAAGCCAGAGTTTGCGTGCGTACAAAAGTTTTCAGATTTATAAAGCCATGCGTACGCCAGAACCTGTGCACAATTCCATTTGTAATACCCAGTCAGCGGAAGATTGTGCGTACATGAATCTCCACCCCGTCTCCTCCTCAAAATAGCCATATATGGAGCTTATAACGCCTAGTTTTAATATGCATAATGTCATCTGCATATCATTTTTGCGTTTTGAGACATCACTATTCTAATTTATGCAATTTGCCTGAAAGGTAAACATATATTTTAGAATGTTTATAGCCAATATTTTTATGGAAAGTGATAGGCCTTATTTTTTTTGCGGTGTAAATAGCTGTCTGACTCACCGTGTCAATAACAAAACATTTTGAAAATAAAACGTGCATATTATACAGTTTCCTTCAAATTCTATCTTTTAAATATGGTGTTTGTCACAATACTGGGAAGAGCACGAAAGGGGTTATCATTAGGATACTGTCTGTGCGCGACACCTGAGAACAGAGGTTATACTGTCATCAGACCAATGGACTGTTTAATCAACGAGCGCATCCTTATGTCTGTCGTTACCGTCTATGTTCCAAAGCCATCAAACAATCAAGTTCACAAAAATTATCATTATTAATCGCGCAAAAGTATTTTCTCAGAACATTTGTTTTACTATTTAGGACACAATTTAAAGCAGAATTGTCATGCGCCAAGCAATCCTCGCTGTGATTAAAACATTAAATCGCATACCACAGGAAAATTGTTCGAAAGCAGCACATCCACTGCAAATATTTATTTTTAATTTCATATGAAAATGTTGTAATTTCTGGATAATAATTTCATGAAATTTCACTGCTTAACTTTATTATTTAGAGTGTCATATTTAACCTAAATGTGTAGGCCTATGTCAAATGTAAAACAGACTTTAAAATCATTCTGTTTGCTTCCTTATTTTGCTCCCTCCAGTAAAAGAGTGCATACGCATGGTCTAGAGAGTCGTACGGTGCGCACATATTTACGCCTAGTTTATTTTTTATAAATCCCGATATGTGCGTGGAAAATTGCGCAACGTTTATACATCAGGCCCCAGATGTCCCGTTTTCCCCGGGAGTCACAATTTGTTGCCGATTAACTTAAAGTTAGTGAAGGCGGGATAGGCGGAATCGCGCTGATAGAAGTGCTCTCTCTCGTGCACGCTCCACTTTTTCAGTTCTCATATACAGCGCGCGATCAGTTCTGAGTGCTCAAATACACACACAGCAGTCCAAATGTCTATCGTGTAGAGTATCTCACGTAAATACAGCCGGTTAGGGATTAAGTGAACGTAAACAGGTGGGTGAAAACTGAACGTGTGTCAGTATTACATGCATGCCTTCCGTCTTAAAGGGACAGCATTCCTAATTAAGTA